GAGAACCTCGAATTGATGCGTTTCTGCGCACCAAAACATTTGGTGTAGAAATAGTGGCGGCGCCGAAAGGTCGTGCACCACAGTTACGAATATTCCGCCGAATGTTTCAGGCCCATGTAAAAATTTTATTTGAATTTCACAATGAACGACGGACGTACGACGCATCATACAGTAAAAGAAAATGTGATAGATAATGAATGGCAAGTTGTTTATGTAAGGCATTAAACGAATAATTAGCATTAGTATGATTAAATTAACAGTGATTGTTGCTTAACATGAAACAAACAGTGTGGCAGCATGTGCTTTAGAAGTGTTATGCTTATCGCTATGAGAACATAACCCATGGGTGTATCGCATATGACCGATTATTCATTAAGCACACAACCACCATAGGCACTTTGATTAAGCCGAGAAATCTCCGCGTCAAGACTAATGTCATTGATGGTCTATGTCTTTTTTCGGAAAAAGACAAGTGTTCAGGCTAAATTTGCACGAAGTTCAGAAGGATCTAGCTGGGACGACTTCATCACGACGATATGAATTACGCATAGACTAGATTAGCATTCTAAAATTATCGATAAGAAATGATACGACAACGCAACGAAAGAAATGGGCACTGGCACAGTGGTAGTAGTCATTGTGAAGAAAGTGGTTATTGGCACATCGATTTGATCGGGCAGCAATACTCATGGTTGGTTGGTTGATGACGTTTGGCTGATGACCCCAATGACAATTACCACATACGTCGAACATACTCTCCACGAACGTCGCGAGGGGTTCCGAAAGCTGACATTCCGGTCTGAAACGATTACTTGCACCAGTCACTGTTATCAAATTGTTATCACAATCCACTACATTAGGTAATTACTGGCTTGTTTACAATGTGTTTTGATTCGACATTGTCAACAAGTCGTAATTTCAAAGTTTAGATTGCTTATTGAAACCTCACTGAGATCAAAACTTCACTCGTAATCTATCATAAACACTGCGATTTCATATTCGTTCAATACGTTCTCAACTACAACTGAAACACATTCACACCTGATTAGCGAATTCAGTTTCTTGTCCAGACCAGAACGGTACGTCAGGTCGACGAGCCATATCCAGTGGTAGCTCCTCATGACTGTCGTCAACGAATGGTGTGTAAACCTTTAAATTGAAGTATAATCCCATAGACAGACATCCCATAAAATAATATGATCATGAAATATTTCATTCGTATATTCTTCAAGAGTTATTCTCAACTGAACACTTTTTCTAGTGCTTCATTCTGTTTCAATACAGCATTTATTGCTATTACCTCTATCAAAATTATTAGTGCGTAGCTAATATGAGGTGAACCAACAATATTCCTATAAATACACTTGAAGTATTGTATATTGCTGCAGTTTGTAGTGCAACTTTCTGAAGTGATCATTGTTTCCTGAAGAGGTAAGTAAGTAGTTGGTTTGAGATGAGGACATACCTGCCTAGGCATACCAAATCCAGTTTTACCGGACTGAGAATCGAGGAAGTTGACACCCATCTGGTAGGGAATCATGCCTTGTGAGCGCTGCTCTTGTGCTTGCATATTCGTTACCGTATTATTTCTGAACGCACCAAAGCCTGTCATGCCAGCCTGGGATGCACCTGCAAGAAGTTTTACGTGACTTTCACAGCGTTTTAGTGGAAACTGAAGTGTCCATGATCAATTGTTGGCGACTGAGGATATGGATGAAATGTCTTTAGTATTGGAGGATTGAAGCATGACCACATGCAACACAATTTGACACTGAGTAATCGAAAACCGTCAAAAACTGAAATGAAGCAACGAGATAATGAGTTCCACAAATAATATCGAAATGATTCCAATTTTGCTGCTATCAGCACTAGTAAATACGAACGTTACGAATAAGTTTTTCGTGAATTCAGAATAGCCAACAACTAACTGAACATTTCGCTCGTCAAACTACAGGTAATTTATGACTGATGAGGGTGCGAATAAACGCATAGACAAATCATCAAAAACGATTTGAGAGTCCTTATGAAAACATGTTCGATCAGCTTAATCAATCACTGAATATTTCAGGCAGGATTTTCTCTCGCAAACGCTTCTCGGTGATCCATCTGAGCGATAGAAAACGAACCCTCTCTCCATCCGGTGGTTTGTCGTGATGTGACAGATTCATCGTGAGGCATCTCCCCTCTTTGTTCATCTTTGTATTTGGTGATATTGTGACGTGGCATACCGAAACCGGTCATTCCGGATTGATTCGCGAATCGATTAGTGCCCATTTGAAGATGGATGAAACCCTGACTCTCACGATCTTGTTCCACCGTCTTTCTCACTGCAACCATCGACAAATTTCAGATTATTAAGGCAGTTTTTGAAAGAAGAAGAAGAAATCACAAATAGATAAAGTGTTGATTCGTTATCAATCCATGGAATTTTTCTGATAATTTTGAATGCCTTCTGAATTAGCGCATTGATGACAAAACTTTGCAAAGATATCTAAAAACCTGATTTAATCAACTTTATTGGCTAATGCAAAACGAATTTGATCTATTGCTAGTTCATTTCACTGAACTTCACATTCGTAATCCAAATCACCGACTGAATCGAGTCAGATAATTNTTCTTTGGCAAGACTTTCAGTTCTCTTATTCGTTGAGAATTACGCTTACGTAAAGTGTTTCCGATATTCGTTCAGTTATGAATTCCACTAAAATATTCTTCTTTATCTGCTCAAGTTAGCTTAAGTTTCTTCGTTAATTAAAAATTTCCTGAAACACTCTACTCTAAAACGGTCTTCTTTAGTTGGACCGTAGAAACATTGGTGAGAATCCATTATAGAAATTCTTCGTGCGAGATGAGGTTGAGTGCAGATGATGGACGCTACTGATCAATGTGTGTCTAGGAAACGCAACACTCACCATCCACAATCCTGGGCATTCCCATACCGGTCATACCGGCTTGTGATGCGAGTTTATTTGTACCAGACTGGAGCGGTACAATGCCGTCTGTGGCACGTGCCTTCTCCTCTGAAACCTCACTCGCACCACCGGTACCTTTCGTTAGGTAGTTGACATCTCGAGGACGACCGAATCCTGTAAGTGGTCATCTCATTTGAATGATAAAAGGTGTACAAGTGTTGTTTGACAATGGAATAATGCGTAAAGAGAGGAATTTTCAGTCTTCCACCGGTCAATTTTCCAACATTTGACTGCAATCAAATTCAGATTTATCACTGAGATTTGTTCAGGTGTACACTTGCGTCAGTCGTGAACGATAAACAATCATTTAATGTTTTACAGTTGATGAGGTGAAACAAAGCCATCAATATTGTATCGGTTGCAAACACGNAGTCGGTGCTAAGGGAGTTTTTGTACACGATGTTATTACTTTACAGTTATAATGGCTCATAAATGATGAGGCGTTTCGTGAAATTTTCTTCTTTTTCAGATCAACTAAGCAATTCGGGCAATGCTGCTCAGGTCTCGAACTGATTCCGATGCGATGTCTATCGAAAAGAATTCTCATCGAAACGTTTCCGTTACCTGTTTGTCCTTTTTGAGACGCGAACTTGTTTGTTCCGGACTGTAGCCATGTGGACGCTTTAAGCTTTTTGATCTTCTCCTCATCAGTAATTTCAGCCAAATTTTGTGATTTCACTTTATCAATGACATCTCGAGGAACACCAAATCCTGGAAATTTTATCGATTCATTTGTGAGCAATCGCTCAGCTTCAATTGATTCCTTGGGGGAAGCAGCTTAAACTTATGGTGCTTATTGTAAAGCAAACACTACAATTGGTCGAATCATCACTTCATTTGATCTAAATTCGACTGAATCTGTTATATATGTGATGAAATAACTGCAATTCGGTAGACAATCAGTAACACTTGCGAAATGCAACAGGATTTAGATATACGAGCAAGGGCCGTTCGGAAACGGCATTTCTTGACTGGAAGTACTAAGAATGCACGTAACATGCAGCATATCAATAACATGAAATTGTCAATGTTCAGTTCTTTGACTGATTAATTACCGATTACAACGACTCTTTGATAGAATTAACGATGATGTTTACAGATTGACCAAGTTTCGTCTTTACAGATTGACTGAGCAACTAAGAGATGTTCTACGTTTGTTTCGGTCTCGATACGACCAAAATGCTCAGTAACCATTCAAATTGCATCGAAGAATTTAGAGGTGTTATGGGGCATCAACACATTGATGAAAGCAGCGATACTTTTGGAATCATCACTGTTAGTTTCTTGAATTGAAATATTCTCAGTTATAACGCCATTACAATAGTTCACGAATATTACACCGGTTTATGTGCTACGAAAACATATGTTGAAAACATGCAAAAATTTTGAATTCGTTGAAATTTATTACTGAAGTAATTACCAAAGCGTTTTTATTTGGTAGGCAATCAATGATCAATGTTGGATTGTATCATTCAAAGCGAAATAATATGAAATATTCAATTTAGTTCATTTTGGGGGGGATTAGTTGCCTTTTTGTGAATGATCTAATCGCTGTGATTCTCAGATCAGTTTATTGAATATTGAATTGTAGCGCACTCGAAACTCTTTGTAAGCATTTTTGCGATACGTTCTTACCGGTCATTCCTCGTTGAGATGCGTATTTGTTGGAGCCAGCCTGGATGGGGATAATGCCCTCTGAACGCATCAACTTGTTCTTGTCATGCTTCGATGGCTTGCCAGCTGAGTACTGAGCAGCACGACGAAGTACCGATTTCGGTTGCTCGGGAAGTCCGTACGTACGACCGGGCGTTGGACTCTTGATGCCAACTGGTGGCGGCGCTTTCTTTGGTTCGTTTTCGCTTTCTTCATTCTTCAAAAATTCATTTCATTCGCTCATCTCATTACTGGTCGTGATCATAGAATCGAAATAATGATTCATTAATCAAAATGGATCATGAGAACAACAAATGAAGTGATTTTGTGAGTTAGTGACAATAGATTATAATATTCAAGAGAATATTATCACTGAACTGAAATCGAAATTCAATAGAACTGAAATATTTTCAAAAATTCTAAGGAAAAGCTCTGAGATGGTAAATTATCGCATCGAATGGAATACAGAATCAATCAAATTGCAAATATAAATAACGATTTCACT